GGCAGGCTGCAGGCAGACCTGCCCCTCCCTGCCTGTGGGGCTGTGTCAGGAGGGGGTGTGGAAGAAGCGGGTGGTCTTGTTGCTGCTCTGAGCACTGGGCAGCCCCCCTGACCTCAGTACCACCAGTGAGCTGCTCAGCTTCTCCTCCAGCATCTGGAGAAGGAAATCATAGGATCACTGAATCATTCCCCTTGGAAAAGACCTTAAGATCGAGTCCCAACCATTAACCCAACTCTATTGAGTCTGGTGCCAAACCATGTCCCTCAGCATCATCTCCAGGGCTTGGAAACCCCTCCAGGGATGCAGACTCCACCCCTGCCCTAGGCAGCCTGGGCCAGGGCCTGACAACCCTTTCCATGGAGAAATTGTTCCCAAGATCCACCCTAAACCTCCCCTGGGCAACTTGAGGCCGTTTCCTCTTGTCCCATCACTTGTTCCTGGGGAGCAGAGCCCGACCCCCCTGGCTCCAACCTCCTCTCAGGCAGTTGCAGAGCAGAAGGTCTCCCCTCAACCTCCTTCTCTCCAGCCTGGACACCCCCAGCTCCTCTGAAGTTCTCCAGACCCTTCTCCTTGTGCTCCAGCCCCCCAGCTCCATTGCCCTTCTCTGGAGACACCCCAACCCCTCAATGTCCTTTTTCTGACCCAAAACTGACCCCAGGATTCAAGATGCTGGCCCACAACTGCCCAGCACAGGAGGACAACCAATGCTACCATGGCCCATGCCCCAGCATAATGGCTTGCAGTGGGGAGAGCTGCCCTCCATGAGCTGGCCAAGGTGGGGAGGAGATGGCTGGGGTGGGTGCAGGAGCACCCACCTCCCTGCGTTCCACCAGCCGCTGCCTCCACTCGCTGAGCTCCATGTTGTGCTCCTGCTCCAGCCTCCCCAGCTGCCTCCTCTCCTGCTCTGCCAACAGCTGCATCTTCTCCCTCTGGGAGGTGGGAAGGAGAAGGAAGGTGCTGGAGCAGAGGGACCCCCACACATACCCCTGGGGTGGCCAGTTTTGTAGTGGTCCCTGGTACCTGCATCTGCTCCAGCTCTGCCAGGTTCTCAGCCTGTTGCTGCTGCAGCTTCTGCAGCTGCTGCTCCTGCCTCTGCTGCTGCTCCTCCTGCACCAGCTGCTGTGGGGACAGCCCAGTCACTCTCCCCTTCCCCAAAAGCCATCACAGCTTTCCACACTTGTTGCTGGGGAACCTTGTTGGCCCCGGGCAGGTCCTCCTACCTGCTTGAACTTCTCCCTCTGCTTGGCCCCAGGAGCCTCCTGGACCTTCAGGTTGTCCTTGAAGAGAGCCAGGCGGCTCTTGGCGTCGCAGCGCTGGTTCCTCAGCAGCTGAGTTCTCTCCTGCACCTGCTGGCTCCTCAGGTCCTCCAGCAAGAGCTGGTGGAAGCGGTTCATCCTCTCTGTCTCCTGGGAAAGGGGCAGGAGGCTGAGCCAGGAGCAGGGGCAGGAGCTCCCCAGGGCTGGTGGAAGCACCAGCCGTGGTTCCCACCTCACCTTCTCGTGGCGCTTGCGGAGCTGCTGCTTCTGCAGGGCATGCTGCTCCTTCACCTGCTGCCTGAAGAGCTGGTACTTCTCCTGCAGGTGCCCTTCCTCCATGCTCCACACCACCGACTCACGGGCTGCCAGGCAAGACCACAGCAACATCACCACCTCCAAAAATCCCCCTACCCAGACCCCCTGCTCCCCTCCCCAGGAGGAGCCCTCCCCACTCCTCTCCTCCCAGCCCTGCTCCACCTCTCCTGAGGCTGTGGATCTTGCTGGTGCACTCCCAGTCAATGGACACCATCTTCTTCTTGTGCTCCTGGACAACCCTCTGCAGGGCTGCGTTGAGTTCCTCCTGCTGCTGCTGCAGGAACCGCTGCTCCTGCGGCGAGGAACAGTGAGGCTTCATCCCAGCCCCTGGGCTGAGAATGTCCCTGGGACTTTTGGAGCCACAGCTGCCCCAAACCCTCACCTCTCTCTCATCACCCTTCAGCTCTTGCATCCTCCTCTGGGAGACCTTCTCCTGGAGGGACTTGAGGTGCTTGGCCTCGCTCTGTAGCCTGGTGGTGAACACCAGCTCCTGACGCTCCCTCAGCTGCCGGGGACGCCGCTCCCAGCTCTCCACCTCCCGGTCATAGAACCCCTTCTTGCTCTGCCACGGAGATGTGGTCCACAAGGACCAACCATGACCACCAAATCCTCTCCACCTTAGCCCCGGCATCTCCCACAGTGGGACCCCCAGGGTCCCTCTTGGCACGAAGGGACAGCGGCCCCAGGTTACCGTCATCTCCTGCTCGATGTGACGGAACATCTGCTCCCGCTGCTGGTGGAACTTCTGCTCCAGCTGGCTCTGAGCTCGCTGCTCCTCCTTCTGCAGCACCCGCAGCTCACGGAGCTCCTGGCGCCTGGAGGTTGGGGGAAGAGGAGTGAGAGGAGGCCCAAAGGCAGCCCTGGAGGCACCTCTCCCTCTCTTCCAGGATGGCTGACTCGTGGGTGGCTAAAGAAGCAGCTCAGCCTTGGTGCAACACCATGGAGAAGACTTTCTCCAGCAAGAAGGAAGGTGGGATGCCCGTTGGGTCTGTGGGGGTCACTCCCCCAAGCTCTGCTGTTGTCTCTGCCCTTCCATCTCCCCCCTCATGATCCCCTGCTCTCCTTGGGTGATGTGAGAGCTTCTAGGGGAAGATCTTCCCCTCCTGGTTCCTTCAGCTGGTTGCTGGACACACCAGATATGGGGCTGGGCAACATTCTGCTCCTCAGGTGTCCCTGCTGCACAGCCCTGAGGATGTAGGAAGGGCTTGCTCATGCTCTCCTGCTGGAGTAGACCCTGGCCAGGGAGGCAGATGAGTTTGCCAAGCCTGGAGGTCAATCACTTGTGCTTTGCAGCGTCCCACACACCCATCCTCCCTTCTGCACCCTCTCCCCTTTGCCCCTGGTCCTCCTTGGCCAGAAAGAGGTGGGAGATGCCTGGTGGCCCCTCCAGCACCAGCAGCACCCACCTAGCTGAGCGCCCCAGCCCGTCCCTCGCGCCGACAGTGCTGGTGGTCACTCTCACCTCCTCCCCATCCACCACAAACCTCCTGGTTTTCTTGACCATCCTTTGGAGCGAGGCAGGTTCCTGCCACCAGGAACAACAGTTGGAGCTCGGGCAGCCCAACATGACCTACACCCAAGGTGGGGGTAGGGCTTGATGTGGCTGTGGTACCTGCAAGGGTCTCACCTGCTGGGCTTTCCCAGCAGAGGGGAAAGGCTGGGTGGCTGCAGGCAGGGTGCTGGGACCTTGGACATCTGCAGGGCTTTCCACAGGGGATGGATCCTCTCCTGGCTTTGACCTGATGGATGGATCTGGTGGGTTCCCTGTTTCCCACGCTGCCCGTGCCTGGGAAGACGTGCGAACAAGGACAATGCTTGTGGCCTTTGGGTGCCCACCAAGGTCTTCCTGGGGCTCTGACACTGTTCTGTGACCCTCCAAGCCACCCAGCTCCTCTCCAGGGCCAGCCCTTGATGGCCCTTCAGGAGCTGCAGCAACCTGCAGCCTGTCTTCTCCAAGCTCTCCATCATTCCCATCTTGGCCTTTCCAGTCATTACCAGGAGCAGCTCCTGGCTGGTTGTCTCCAGGGCTGTTTTCCACTTCATCTTCTGATTCATCTTCACCAGGCCCTAGGATCTGCACATGGGATGAATCCTCTGCTGAATATTGGGCCTCCTTACCTGCAGGTCCCTCTCCTGAACATGCCACTGGTTCCTCTCCTGCCAGCATCACTGTCCCAGGGCTGGCTGCATCTCCTGCTGGTTGATGGTCTCCAGTCAAGCACCTTTTTACAACATCCTCTTCCCATTTCACTAGGCCTTCCTCAGGAGAAATTTCCACCCGAGTTTCAGCATAATCTGTGGCTTCCCCCTCATTCCTCCTTCCCTCCTGCTCAAGCATGTCCAGGGGGTCAGTGATGGGCTCCCCCACAACTGAGTTACTCTCCCTGTTGCTCCTCTCTCCAGCCTCTCCTCGACTGGCCAGAGGCTCCTGCCCCCCCTTGAGAACCTCTGACCCCAGCACCACCACCTCTCCAACACTGGGCATCAGCAATTCTCCACCCTGTGGCACCTCCTCCTCCACCACCTCAGTCTCCTCAGTCTTCACAGCACCCTCAGGTCCCATGGGTGCTCTCCCCATTCCATCACCATCCCTCCCAAGGCCATCTTCAGCCCTAGTGGAGCCAACCTCAACCTTCAGCTCTACCAACGACTGAGTAACCCAGCCCTGATGCTCCACCAGAGACTTGAACCTCTGAGTTTGGGTTTCCATGACCCACAGGTCCAGGGCAGCCAGTAGCTGCCCCCCAGCTGATCCTCTGCACCAGCCCTTGTCCATGGGTGCAGGCAGGGCCAGCAAGATACCAGTAGGGTCTCTGCTTGACGCCTTCTTTGGGTGGCTTTTGGGGGTCAGAACAGGGCTTGGTTGGGTTGCCAGCTGTCCCTCCATGGACATTCCAGCCACCAGTGATGTGTCAGCAGGTTGGCTTCCCTCCTGGAGCTTTGCCTTGGGTCCAACCTGCTCTACCTCCAGCTCTTGCAGGTCACCAAGGCCTCCTGCCTGCTCAGCCACTTTGCAGGAGATCCCCAGAGAGCAAGTCTTTTCTTCATTACACCCTTGAACTTCTCCTCCTGCGTCTGCTGGCACCGGTGTCCCTTGAGGAGCAGCAGGTGCTGTGACCTCCAGCCCACTCTGCTGCCCCCTGTGCTGCTCCTTCCCCACATCTGGGGCCTTCATCCCTCCAAAGAACGACCTGTGCCGCAGCAGCTGCCAGAGCTCGGGTGGCCTCTTCCCAGGGAGCCTCCCAGGACACTGGGGCTCAGGTGAGGACCTTCTCCTCCTTTGCATCAAGAAGTCAGATGCTTTCTTGGCCCTGGGTTCTGCCACCACCTGGACATGGGGTGGGATTCCCAGCTCCTCGCCAATACTCCCTGCAGCATCTGGGGGCTGATGACCCCCCAGGGTTGGGGGGCAGGAGGACCCTCCATGCTCCTGGGGTGGGCAACGAAGGTAGAGTTGAGGCTCAAGGAGCTGGTGGAAAGGGTTGGAGGGGTCTTGCACCCCAGGTGGCCACTACTCACGCACCAAGGGGACAGGACCTTCCTCCCCATCCTCCTCCTCCAGCACATCAGCGCGGGCTTCGGCCACCAGCTCCCGCAGCGGCCGCTTGTCGGAGACCCCAGCCACAAAGGGGTGCTGGGTGGGAGTGAGGGAGGTGAGCAGGACCACCCAGCCCCCAGGGAGGGGGTCCCAGCACCCCGAGCAGGTGGCCACGTGTGCTACCCACCTGCAGGAGCTGGCTGGCCGACCACCGTGCCTCAGGGCTCTTCTCCAAGGATTTCCTTAGGAAGTCCTTGAAGTCTTCAGACCTGTGGGATGGTCTCTGTGAGCACGGGGCCACCAAAGCTCTATGTCACCCCTCCTGTGGACCCCACGGAGCTTGGGGTGGTGCTAGGGACACTCATGCTCTGCTAGCACCTTGGCAGAAGATCCCCACCCTGGTGTTGCCCACCAGTGTCCCCTTCTGTGGGCAAAGGTGGCATGATGGGAAACCTGGGCTGATACTTGTGGGGCTGGGCTTGGAGGAGCCACAACCAGCACCACTTATGGTCCAAGAACCCATCCCACCTGCCTGGACCAGCAGGAGCTGCCCCATGGGACAGCTCCTCCCACTGTCACAGACACTGGGGTGAGGTCTCCACAGGGGGGACTCACCACCTCTTGGGGTGACGCAGGGTGGGGGGCTGGGACTTGGTGATCTTCAGCAGCACCCTCAGGGGGTTCAGCTCGTGGTGGGGGGGCTCCATCTCAGCCATCTCAATCAACGTGATGCCCAGTGACCAGATGTCAGCCTTGTAGTCATAGGGGTTCTCCTTGGAGGTCTCACACTGCACCACCTCCGGGGCCATCCTGCATGGGGGAGAGAGGGGAAGAGGTCCAGCCTGCCCTGGGCTGGGGGATAGAATCTCCTTCTCTAACCAAACCCATCTCCTGTGGGGACAACCCAACAGGCAGAAGAGGTGAAATTTGACCCCCAAGTCCTCCAACCCTACCCCCAGGAGGTCTAACACCCACCAGCACCCCACGTGTTCTCTCCATACGTGCTACCGAGAAGCTCACCCAGCATTGGCTGGAGGAGGAAAGATCTGGTTCCTTGAGGTGCTCCTGGTGGCGAGGAGCTGGCTGTGAGCACCCACAGGAGAAACAGGACCCCTGGGCTCCCCCATCCCACCCACCTACACCCCCTCATCCCAGGGGCTTCCCACCCATCCCTACCAGTACGGGGTCCCGATGAAGGACCCGCGCCGCTGGGCCGCGCTGGAGTTCTTGGCCGAGACACCAAAATCAGCTGCAGAGCAGAAAGCAGCAGCTAGAGACCCATCCTTGGGGGAAAAACCTCCCCTGGTCCAGTTCTCCCCTCCCCAGGACTCACCCAACTTGACGTCCCCATCAAGGGTGAGGAGAACATTGCCAGCCTTGATGTCCCTGTGGATGATCCTGCAGCCGTGCAGGTACTGCAGGGCCAGCAGCAGCTGCTTGCAGACCACCCGGATCTGCTCCTCTGTCAGCCCCTTCTCCAGCTCTGTCACCAGCACAAACAACCCCACCACCACCACCAATGGGGAGGAGGACCCAGAAGATCTGCCAGTCCCACCCCAAACCTTCCAACAGCTGGGAAAAACTAAACAAAATAAAACCCATTTCTTTACCCAAAATCACCGCATCCACTGACCCTCCGGGACAAAACTCCACCAGGATCTGCAGGGAGAGGTTCCCCACCTTGGTCTTCAAACCCCTCCAGACCAACCCCCCCGAGACTTGGGGGGACCCCAGGTGACACCCATGGGGGCCTCAGCACCCTCACCCAGAGCTGCCCATCCCAGTAGAGCGTGTCCAGCAGCTCGGTGACGTTGGGGTGGTGGCAGCTGGCCAGGATCTCAATCTCCACCAGGTGATCCTCCAGCTCCTCCTCCCTGGGGGTGACAATCACCTTGGCAGCCGCCAACGTCCCCGTCACCTTGTTCTGTGCCTGGGGGAGAAGGTCCAGGGGGGGCTTGTTGGGGGGCGAAGGGAGCAGCCCCGGGTTTTGGGGTGGGGGGAAAGGTGGGACCCACCACATTCCACCCTGGGTGTTTGGGGCCATGGAGCCAAATGGTGGGGACACACGTGGGGACCTTGGTGGGAGCAGAGCCAGGAAGGAGAGGGACACGGGGCTGGTGGGCAGGTGGCCCCATTGAGGCGGTGCCCTCCTGTTTGAGGGTCCCAGGACACCCCACTGTATCCCAGTGTGGGTCTCAGAGCATCCCACTCTATCCCGAACTCTCTGTGTGGATCCCAGAACATCCCACTCTATCCCAAACCCTCTGTGTGGATCCCAGAGCATCCCAATCTATCCCAAACTCTTTCTCTGTGTCCCAGAACACCCCACTCTATCCCACACCCTGTGCAAGGTTCCCAGAACATCCCACTGTATCCCCAACTCTCTGCATGGATCCCAAACCCTCAGTGTGTGTCTCAGAACATCCTGTTCTATCCCAAACCCTCTGTGTGGCTCCCAGAGCATCCCAGTCCATCCCATCCCTCTCCAACAGGCTCCCCCCCTCCCAGAGGTGCCGTGTATCCCTTGGGGGGGGCTCAGCAAATCCCCCCGGGACCTTCTGCTGGTTCCACAGCAAAACCCTCCCCTGGGAGTAATGCCAAAGCCCTGGAATTCCCAGAAAGGGAAGAGGGGCTGGATTGGGGCAGGACAAGCCCCCCCAGAGCCGGGTCCATCCCCCCCAAGTGCCACCAACCCCGGAAGGCGACAGAGCCAACGGCAAAGTTGGGGTTTCCTGTCGAGCTTGGGGGGTGGGCACTGATCCCCCCACGGAAAGAGAAGAAAAACATCCTGGACTCAACCCCCAAACCTCCCACCGAGGAGCTGAAGGGATGGGATGGGACCCTGCTGGGCATTTTGGGGTGGCTTTGAAGGTGTTGGAGGTTCCCCCCCTGCCAGAAGCTGCCCGAGCTGGGGCAGCACCCCAGGAAAGAGGGTGAAACCCACGGGGTTTTGGTGCCGGGGGCCATGGAGGGTGCTGGGTGCTCTCCTACCTTCCAGACCTTGCCAAAGGCACCTTCACCCAGCTCGCCCAGCACCAGCCAGACCTCCTGGGGGTCCACGTCCCTCCTAATGTGCTCCAACCACCGCGGTGGCTTCTTCTTCTCCCCGAAGCCAAAAAGGCGTCGGAGAAAAGCCATGAGGCCACCAGCTCCATCCAGAAGCCACGGGGTGGCCGGGCCGGGGCTGCTCCACCCGACACCTGCTTTGCTGCCTTTGCTCTTCCTCCTCCGGGGGCAGGAAGGGGCTGAACGGGGCCCCGGACCGCGCAGGATGTGCCACCAGGTGGAGGTGACGAGGAGATGGTCCCCTCCATCCCACCGGGTGGTCTCCTGCAGTGGGGAGAAAGGAGTCCTGCTCACCCCAAGGTCCTGCCCGCACCCCTGGCACCCCACGGGGAGGACACAACGGGGTCCCTGAACAGATCTGGGGTCCCGGAGGTGCCCCCTCGGGATGCTCATCCCCGTGGAATTCGTGCATCCCCCCCCGGATTTCTGCAGCCCAGCACTGGCAGGTCCCTGGCTGGGGG